AACGATCGAGCGGAAAGTCGTTAATCGAATGTTTCTCGGAGGAGACGGCGAGCCGCGCAAACCGGAAAATTGCCGACACGCGATCGTACTTTTTCGCTCGTGGATCTCCTGAAATATTCCGTTGCCGTAATATCTGTCGTCACGGCGACCGCCAAATGCGCGTTATCTCGTAGCTAACATAGCTGTAGGAAGAAATTCCTCTCTTATTAAAGGCGGAGGAAAATGATTTATATTTAAATTAAAACGACGAAATCCGTTGAGACGAAATCTGTCACGATTGTGTGACGAGACTTCTCCCTTTCTCGCGGGAAAATTGTGGCGAGCGTCCGTTCGCAGTAATGTTCGTCACATTTTGTCCGGACAGTGTCCGAGTGAGGAAAAGTCGGGCGTATTTAACCCTTAAAAGCTGCCATAGGTGAAATTTCATTCTACGCGAATTTTGTCTCGTCCTTATTAAATGTTAAATTATTTGCTGCAGATAGAAACTTCTCCGCTTTTCATCTAATATTCGATAGTAGTAAAACACTTAATTGCATTTGTTAGACTTTTTTTATTTTTAAAATAAGAAATATATACCGGGGTGAAATTCCATCTATGACAGCATTAACGTGATTTTCTTTGATGATAGCTTTCAAGGGTTAAACATACGCATATGCATCGATACCGCTAAGCGGGTTAACACGTGTCTCACAACGCTCAGCCATGATGATGCTTCACTTTAGAAGCGAGATGTCGAACGATCCGAACGCAAAATTCAACATGAGCCACCGCGTCGCGGTGGTGAGCCGCGCTATTCACGCTGAACGCGTTATCAATGTCGCTGTTTTGTCGTTTCGGTCACTCGCAGTTGCGCGAATAATAGAATAACTCGAAAGTCGCTCTCGCGCGTGGAATTTCAAACAGCGTTCTTGGCTCTACAAACTCCGTGATGCGTAATCGGCGTTTGATCTCTCTCTCTCTCTCTCTCTCTCTCTCTCTCTCTCTCTCTCTCTCTCTATCTCTCTCTCTCTCTCCCCCCCCCTCCCTCTGTGGCTCTCTCGATCTATGCCAAATCGCTTATGGAGGAATGCGCTTCTCCATGATTGTGCAAGACTCGATATAGGATCGACGTGAAAGCATTATATCGACGCTAATCCCGGATAATTCTTGAAGCGGTATTTCGCGCGGCTAGAAACCGGGTCGTTTCATTAGCGCGGCACAATGGCGGGCGAGTGCACGCGCGCGCGCGGGTCGGATAAATGATGGGCAATAATGAAACATTAATGGCGCGCAGTCAGTTTGAAACGACGACGATGCCGACCGAGAGCTGCCTAGCTATTCAATACTATATTCCCCCTTTCCTCTTCCGTCACCCTCCCCTCCCTCCCCTCTCTACCCGCCGCTCATTTCTGTTCTCGTCGAATTACCATTTTGATATTAATTTGCCGTTACACAGTTACGTATTTCATATACGACTTCCGCGAACGCGGCGGCGAAGAATGGGATAACGCATCACGGGATATGCGTCTGTATATATGTGTTTTCGCTGCGCTCGTGAACGGTTAACAAATAGCGAAATTAAATTTATACATTCGACATGCGAAGGTACTTTCGCCCTCTCCCCCCCTTCCCAGTCCGTCCAGCGTATTCGATGTGCCGGCGGAAAGATGGATATGTATATATGTGTATAATTGAGACAGGAGCGATGTATTAGGCGAGTAATAACAATTTTATTACCTTCGGAAGCGTAAATTGTTTATCGAGTGTTTCTGCGCGGAGCTACTTTCCTCTCTCTCGTTCGCTCGCGTAATTGAGTGCCTTGCCGGGTGTCATGTTCGTTTTTGGGTTCCCCGTCGTTAAATACTCCAGTCTGCTGCACACATGTGTCTCTCTCCTCTCCTCAGATTTATGCATAGTTGAATCCGTCAAACGGCACCAAATGCCAGCGGATCTTCGGTGCCGAGAATGGCGCGTTGAATTTTTCATTGATCTCGAGCGAGACTACTTCGTGGCTCCGTTCCCGTTCTCACGCGCCAGAGTGTCATAATTGTCGAACGTTTCTGTTCTCGTGCCCTTCGTCTCGGCGAGAATGGTCGATCGCTCGAACGTATACCGGGTGTTGCGCGCGCGTTAACGGCGTTTTACCGGAATTCCGCGCGGCTCCCGAACTCGCGCGTCTTTTCGCGCAAATGCAACGCGCAAGATTGAGATTTGTGCGCAATGCCGGTCACTTATGTAAATCGGCGGCTATTAAATCATTTTGGTGCACCGTCAAGATCCAGCGGACTCGATTTTCTACTTTCGAGTTTCCTCCTTTAGCGATTCTGATTACGTACAAGGATCGATGACTTCAATGCTTCACCCGAGATCTTTCAGAGAGCAGAGAAAACATTTATTTGCTTTTAATTGCTATTAATACTTCGTATTTTAGTAGAACAAATTAATCTTCCAATTTGATTGATTTCGCGATGGTATACCGAAGTCAATTCGTCGTTTCTTAATGTGTGCAGAACGCAAAGTTTCATCTCATATCATCCACGTTGTATTTTGCAACATTCCAACTCCTCTCATTTTCGCCCATCACTTTTTGCTTCATTTTTATTTACAAATTTTCCTTGTGTTTATTAATTCATGTATTTCCATTTCTGTGTATTTTTACTGTACGCTTCCCTCTGTTTTCGCATATTCTGTTCTTTCGTTGTACGTATCGTACTTTTCGCGTGACGTCCATTCTTCTCCCTTCCCATGGCGTCTCTGCGCATTGAATGTTATCCTACAGCGTAACAAACTAGTTCTCTATTTCTCATTCTGTCCGCGTTGTAACAATAAGACATCTACGACACCCGATGCGCGCCGGCTGCGTCGCACAGGACAGCTCGTTGTGTCATTGCCGGCCATGTCTGATTAAAGCGCGGTTACTCCACTGACCCGGTCGGCGTTGTCGGCCGCGCTCTCGCAACATTTTCCAAAAAGGTCGCTTAGAGAAAAAAAAAACTCTCGTCCCTTCTCTCCGCCGCGGGTCCCAGTTGGCGCATATTTCCTGCCCCCTCTCTCTCCTCTCCCTCTCGCGCGCTTCGAAACTCACGAAGAGTAAACGCCGGTATCTTCCATCGGCGCGCGGGAGGAGAGGCGCGGCGAGGCGAGGCGCGTTGTAACGCCAGCGGAAACGGCTGTGTGTTCGACGCGGCATAGCACGCGAGGCGGAACGATTGTGTTTGGATTGTCGAGCGGTTAAGCCGTAAAAGCCGTTCAACACCGAAAATGAATTCCCAAACGCGTATCGCATATTTTCCACGGCACTTTTATAGCTCAATGACGCGTACCGCGCGCTGCGGCGGCGCTGCCGCGCCGCGCCGCACCCGCGCGATAGCCGGGGCTCAATTCGCTAATACCGACGTGACCGCAGACGGCTCTATCGAATCTGATGTCGAGTGGTTTCGCGAATCGACAGGCCGATATTGGCCGCGCGTCAACGATCGAGAAATTCAAAGCAAGATACATCTGAAAAGCTGAAATGCGCAGCTTAATTTGTCACCCCCTCCCCCTCGACGAGTTTCGTAAACAACCGATTATATATATATATATGTATTTATTTATTTATTTATTTATTTAAATATTTGTATTTATTGATTCGTATTGATTGATTGATTGATTGATTGATTTATTTATTTATTTAAATATTTGTATTTATTGATTCATATTTATTTATTTATTAACTTCGTCATTTCGGGTTTCTCCACTTCTCGTCGTCGGGGAGAGAGGAAGGGAGAGTGGATACTTCTTCTTTATTTCCGGCTGTCAAGCGGAGATTTCACTCGAATGATTCGTGTCGTGCAACAGAGGAGAGAGTGAGAGGGAGAAAGAGAGAGAGAGAGAGAGAGAGAGAGAGAGAGAGAGAGAGAGAGAGAGAGAGAGAGAGAGAGAGAGAGGAAGACAAAAGGCGGGGATTAACAAAGAGGATAATTAATTACACCCTTAAATCAATTTAACTGCGCGATGCTCGCGAGCTGGCGGCGGGTATCAATGCCGATTCGATGGCGTAATTGGCAAATTCGTTTAAAAGATCGAGGTATCGGCAAATATATCATAATCTTATCGGCAAGGACGCAAAAGCAATTTACGATAATTTCTTCCTCTTTCCCTGCAATACGCGGACCGAGGTGCACAAGGGCGGGAGGATCCTTAACGCTTCTTGTATATTGGAATACAAGGGAGAAGCGATGAAACGCGATGCTCTTTTCCCCTCTTCCACCTCTCTTTCTCTCTCATGCGCTGAAGCTTCGCGAAGTGACACGCTTTTTTTCTTTCGACGGCATCGAAAATGGAAAAGTCCCACAGAAAAAAAAGAAAGAATCGCGGCTTGGGCGACGGGAGCGGGCGGAGGTTCTACTTCCGGACGCGGGAGACAACGGGAGATAAAACAGGGTAGGAACTGGAAATGAAGAAGGGGGAGGCGCTATGCATCCGAGCGGAATGAAATTTCACGTTCGCGCGGATGCGTAGCCGTAGTTCGTCAAAACGACACATCCACCGGCAGCCTCGTCATGCGCGGACTGGCGCGACCAAACGACCCCGCCGACGCGCGCGTTCCTCCCGCCCCCACCCCCTCTATCGCACCCCCAGCATTCAGTCCCGCGAAAGTCACTCGTGCCAATTTGATTTATCCCCCGCTCCCTCCCTCTCCCTCCTCTTTTTCTATCTATAATTCTATCGAAGCTCTTGCATCGTCGATCTTTATTGCCGCTAACGCGCGAGCGGCCCCTCCTCCACCCCCGCCCCAACTCGCGTCCATGCTGCCTTCGCGCTCAGCCCCGTCTAAATCGAGAGCTTCCGGAAAAAGCAAACACGATCTATACCGCGGCAGCGTTAAATCTCCCTGACGGCCGAAGACGAAAAATATCGAGAGATGGAGAGAGAGAGAGAGATGGAGAGAGAGAGAGAGAGGGAGGGGTAGGGGGAGAGAGAATCCAGATGCATAGGCTTTTTGAACGTACACGCGTTTATTGCGAATATACACTCACCATTAGCATCGATTCCCACGCCATCCATCGAATCGGCAACGGCGGCCGCCCCTCGACACGGAAGTAATCCGCCGCGTATGCGCTCCGTCCGCTGCCCAAATCGGATATCTTGACGGTGCATCCGCGGCACACTATGCAATTCCTGGAACAAAGTAATAAACGTCCGAAAATGTTGAGCGCTTCTTTGGCTTTTCGGCGAACGGGCGCCGGGTTTTTTTTCCTCCCTCCTTCCTTTAGCCCGCGAATGACCGGGGCGGGGAGGGGGGATGGCCGGGAGGGCGAGAACGGCGGTGGGCAAAGCGGGGCGGTCGGTTTTTTGTTTTCTTCTTGTTTCGGCCATTTCCGTCCCGCGAATTTCGAAAATTGGAAACAATAGGATTATCATTTTTTTTCCTCTTTTTTTTTTGCCTGATGAAATTAACACTTCTATTCTTTTTATTAACGTCGGCCATGAGCTCTCCGCTGGCTGTACAGCTGCGATATCCTATCGACTCGCGTATCGAATGTATATGCGCGTGTGCGTTCGCGTACGCGCTCTATTTTTTATACTCTTTTTATACTCTGCGCGCGTATCAAAAGCAAACAAAAGAGCTTGTCGAAACATCACGCGAGCATAACTAAACGCTAGTTTCCCGATAAAACATTTCCCTCTGTCGTGCTCTGCACATTATAGTGCACAGGGAGAGACGATCGGCGCTCGGCGAAATTAATCGTTAAAACTGACCGAAGTGAAATTCTTCCGGCGCGAAGTGCCCGTAAAAGAGTCCGTTTCGTATCGCGAAAAGCGCGGTACGCACGAAAATCGTCTCTCGCGAATTCCGCGGAAGTTTGCGAAAAATCTTACCGGAATAAATGAGCGAGCGTGATACTTCGACGTGATACTTGCGCTTGTGCGGATTCCGAAGAAACGAAATCCCTGATAAATTCTGCAGAAATAAACTAACGAACAGTAATTTCGACGTGATACTCGCTCGCGAGAATTAAGTTGGCGGGAAATTTTACAGCGGTAAATAAACGAGCGATAATTCGATATGGTGCTGGCGTTTGCGAATTCCGCGGAGGGCCAAGTTGCCGAGGAATCCTACGGGGATAAACCAACGAGTGATAATTCGACGCGATACCAGCGCTCGTGAACCCCTTGCAAGTCAAGTTGCCGAAGGATCTTACGAAAATAAACAAACGGGCGATAATTCGATGCAGTGCTCGCGTTTGCGAATTCGCGCGCAGCTGAGTCTGCGAGAAAATCTCGCGGCGGAAGCGAAGCAACGAGTGATAACTTGTCACAGACCACTCGCGCGGAGTATTTAAGCTGCCGAAAAATCTCTGCGGAAATAAACAAAGAAGCGACGATCCCTAAAAATAATTAACGACACAGGCAGGCGGCATTTGAAAATTTGAAGCCGCGAAATAACTCTCTCCGAGTGCGATGCGGTGCCGCGAGATCGTCGCATCTCGCATCCGGCTCATTCGCGAGTTCTCACGGGAGGAAGAGAGAGAGAGAGAGAGAGCGAGAGCTCTCGCGTTTCAAGCGGCAGCGGCTGCTCCCGGTTTTCAGGATCGTCGGCGAGCGTGTCGAAAGCGTCGACGGCGGTCGTTCGAAGTTTCGCGCTGATTTGCGCGTAAACCTCGCCGTTTATCGCGTTCCACGGGCTAACTCGCGGCCTGAAGGACGGCAGCGGCAAAGAGGAAGAGAGAGAGAGAGAGAGAGAGAGAGAGAGAGAGAGAGAGAGAGAGAGAGAGAGAGAGAGAGAACGGTAACGCAGGGATGGTTTAGTAGCTGCCATGACGCTTTTATTTTACGCGCGCGCACCGGTGGGCGCTCTCCCACACCCGTTGTGTTGTCAACGTCTGTGCGCGCTCCGCCAGATTCGCCCCGGCAAGTTTTTCCACTTCCGCCAACCGTAAAAACCTTGCTCGTCCGCCTCTCCGCTCCGTGTTTTTTCCCCTCTCTTTTTATCTTGCCCCCGTCAATTTCCCCCTTTCTCGCTCCCTTTTTTTTTGTTTCCACGGCCATTCAAATGCGATTGCGCTTTTACGATTTTCGGCAGCCGCGTTTCGTCGAAACGCTCGCTCGCTCGTTTGCGCGAGCGATTTCGCGTCGTCGACGGATTAGTATCCGGGCTGCTAAAGCGCTCTCACGTTGGAATCATGCGAAGAAACAATTAACGAAAAGTATCTCTTACGCTTCGTCGAGGGATGAATGGAAACAGAAAGGGCGGGGGGGGGGGAGAGAGAGAGAGCTTTTCACGAAAAACTTCGCCGAATTCGAGCGGCAGATCGACCGCGCGCGAGAATCGAGTTCGCGACGCGAGCGAAAGATCCCGACTCGTCCCGCTCCATTATTGCATTATTTGTCGCCATTTACTCCGTTAACGCATCGATCGCGATTTTTCTGAAAGTGCTCTCACGTCCGAATCGTGCGATGAAAAACTCCAGCAAAAGGTATCATACCGATTTCATCGCGGAGTAATTTTTTCTGCGAGAAATCCGCGGTGATTCGATTTATTCGCAACGCTGACGAAAGATATAACTTGCGTATAAAGCCGTAATAAAAACGTAATGAAGCCAGGAACTAATGAGATATACAGCCGATAGGAAACCGATGAAACGAATTGACGAATATGTGCGTTGCATTTATTTTCCACATCTTAATGTTCGAAACTCACATCGAATACTGAAGTCATCAGTTTGGCGGTGTTTGCGTTCTAATTGGCTATCGAACAGCTATCGAAAAGTTCTCAATCGCGCGAGTGGAGACTCCGGGAGAAGCGTCGCGTTGATTTCGTCACGGGTAGAAGCTTTTCGTGAAAAGTACGCGATAATTCAAGCACCACAGCGCGCGCGTGCGCTGTATTAATTGGCGACGCTAATGAATGACATCCGGTTGCTTGTTCGCGGACCGTCACATTATTCGCCACCATTCGGTCCATTAATGCTCCGAGCCGGGCCGCTGATACGTTTTGTCGTCCCAATTGAGTCAAGAAGTCACCAACGAACAAACATCGTACATAATTCGTCGTCACAAGGAAGCTTTTCGCGAATAGTCCGCGACAGCTCGACAAACATGCGCGCGACGCTAATTTGTGACATGAATGACAGCTAGCCGGCTCATCATCTGTCGGTCCGACATTATTCCTCATTGTTTACCCGATCGGCACTTCAATTCTGCATACGAAAATGCTGTCTCTTCACCTGTCTTACCCAATATATATATTGGGAAACGAGCAACGAAAAGTGTCACACACATTTATTGTGGCCGGAAAGAGAAGCTAATTTGCGGGGCGTTTGCTGATGATAGACGCCCGGGTCGTCGCCGCTTGAATTATTCCTCTCCCCGATTTCGGCTGCTAAAGCTCTCTCACGTTCGAGTTACACGCGGGAACAATTAACGTAGAGTATCACACACTTCGCGCTCGGGGGAAAGAACTTTCCGCAGGCATGGCTCGCAATAACTCGCGCGACAGACCATTGTGATACTAATGAAAGACACCAAAAAGCTGATCATTCGTCAACGGCTGAATTAATCCTCGTCGTTTACCTCTTTAACACTTCGGCTCCGGTTATCAGGGCGCTCTCGCGCTCGAATTACACGAAGGAACAATTAACGAAAAGTATTATATACTTACACACACACATACGCGCGCGTGCGCGCACTTTGCGATCGATAAAAAGCTTTCTGCACAGACGGTCGCGCGACGTTCTAATTTGCGACGTTGAATGAAAGACACGGGGCTTATTATTCGTCGACAGCTGAATTATCGTTCGTCATTTGCTTCGTTAATGATTCGACCCTATTAAAGCGCTCTCACGTTCGAATTATGCGGAGAAACAATAAACAACAAGTATCACACACAGATATACATACACACACACACACATACTTCGCGGTCGATGAAAAGCTTCCTAAATGTTCGCGCGTTAGCTCGCACTGCGTTTGAATTCGATAACAATCACAGCGATAATTTGCGACACGCTAACGCAAAAGATCCGTCTGATCGTTCGTCGTCGGCCATCTCGTCGGCTTTTCGTTCACGCCTCGTTCGTCCCAAATCCCCGATTATCAAACGCGCGCGTTTCCCGCCGGCGTAATCCCATCGGCGCGCTCGCACGCACCCCTGGCCGCTTGTACAAATCACCGATGAATCTCGCCCCTTTCGTCTGCCCTCTCCTTACGCTCGCTCCGCCATTACGACAACGATCGCGCCGAAGGGCACGATAATTAAGGTTTACGATTAGAGTTAATAATTCTAACACGTGACCCGAGAGCCCCTCCGGTCGCCCTGCGTCTTCGTCCCAATCCTCTTCCACCCCCGCCTGCGGCATCCCCCTCGCTTTTAATAGCCCCGCGATATTGGTTGTCGTGCTGCGCTGCCGGCGTTGTCGGTGGCGCGGGGAGGCAGCAGGGGCAGCTCAAGAGTTTCCAAATGCGGTCGCCCCGCGCGTACGGCGGTGCTTCGACGGTATGTGTGTGTGTGTGTGTGTGTGTGTGTGTGTGTATATATATATAATAGGACACGCTCGAGGGGGAGCAAGACGATAAAACAATCGACCGCTGTAATAAAGCAATCCTCTATCGTCATGCCCGAGGGCGCGTTTTCGTACGCTCGCGGAAAGACCGGATGGAGTATGCGGCGCAGCTTGTTTGTTTGTTCGACGCACCGAACGGTTTCCGTCTTGCGGCGGTGGTGGCGGATCGCCGGCCGCGCGACATCGAGAGATTGAAGTGGTTCCTCTCTCTCCCTCCTCTCGGCCGGAAACGAGTCTAAGATCGCCGGAATTCAACGGCTCTCCGAACAGACGCGTCGCCGTCGCGCATCCGCATCCCCCGATGACGTGATTAATTCGGCTCTCGGTTCGCGATCTCGCAGACCTGCTCCCCCTTTCTCTCCCTCTTTGTGATAAAATAAGAAATTTCAGTCGGACCTGTGGGGGGGGGAAGCGTGCATGCTCGGCTCGCGAGAACACGAAATGTCGCGACGAGCCCACCGAGTCGCTAAATCGATCGAAAACGAATATCTCGGAAACTGCGAAGAGTGTAGAAACATGTTTTAGAGGAAAGTTCTATGGTACTTGATGTATTTTGTAATTGTGCAATTTAAGTTCCGCCAAAATGTCACGAGGCCTTCCAAAATGACGTTTCTAGAGCATCTGGATGCAAGGATATAAGAAGCATTGAAATGCCATCAGAAATTTCGATCCAATTGGACCTACGATATTTTTATACATTTCTTCCCCGTTACTTTTCTCAGGCACGAGCAAGGAAACGATTAAATCGACGCGACGATGAATGAGCCAAATATGTTTCACTCGTTTCATTTGAAAAAGGATTTTTGGCTCCTGCGCCATCAAATTCGCTTGTAAGAAGCAAGAAACTTCCCGCCTTCGCTTAACTTATCGTCTCGTTGATTAAATCATCTCTTTCCTCTGTGCATTTCACAATTTTGAGGGTCGCATTTGATTGAAACGCATTTTCTTCGACGGGTTTCTTCAATCCCTGAGTGTGCCCCCCAATATTTGCACGGGTCGAGAATTACATAAAATGTAATTATATGCAATTTTATAAAAAAATGTCGGAGTTGTTTTTCCCATCCGAAAATCCGCCACAGAATATTTCCGCGTGTCTCCCGGTAAAAGTTCGGTCGCTTCGTCGCGCATTGGAAACGTCGAAAACTTGTTGAAATTAACATTGAAACAAATCTCCTTGCCGCGTTCGTTACATCGAGGAGAAACAGAGATCGTCGATTTCGTCAACGTCGATTCTCGTTCGCTCGCTCGCTCTCCTCTTTGTCTCTCTCCCTCTCTCTCTCTCTCTCTCCCTCTCTCTCTCTCTCTCGTCGCGTATTCCGGTCGCAACGGGAGGAGAACGACGACAGACGGCGTCGGTCTCTGTGCGTCTGGCGCTGCTTTCGGAACAGCAAACCAATAATGCGACAACAGCTGCTCATTAATGAGCGAGACCTCAAAGCGGCCTCGCGGGAAAGCGCGCGGCGGTGTGCGCTCACGCGCGAGCTTACCTTGTGGCGAGGTCTCGATGCACGAAGTCCATTTCCTCAAGATACTTCATGCCGGATGCTATTTGCGTGGCCATGTAAACCAATGTGCCGAAACTGCAACACACGAAGAACCAGGTCGGTTACGTCGTGAAGTTTACTCGCGGAAACTTGGCCGCGTGTATACACACGGACGCGGAGCGTTCGCCGCGGTAACGCCACAAACGCCGGGCATTCTAACTCCACATCGTGGAGTTCGAAGGGAGGGAAGTAAGCGGGAGAAATGAAGCGGAAGGAAGGAAGACAGAGCGAGAGCGAAAAGCGGAGAGAGGCCGCGGCATTTTTAACGCAAGCGGTGAAATGAGGTATTTCCGTTGCCGGTATTCCGGTTTGGGCTCGTCTATAAAGCGAAACTAACGGGTCGAGTCGAATTTGTCGAAGCCCCGTTCTTTGTGCCTGAGAGAAAGAGAAAGAAAGAAAAAAGAAAAGAGAGAAAGAGGACAGACGGATTTATCGAGCGCTCGAGCGCTGATTAACGCACAGCTAAACCAAAAAAGGGAAAGAAAAAAAAGAATACGATTTAGAATTAAATTCTTTAACTTGGGAAACGCAAATCGAATGAAAAACCGCTTGAATATATTTATATATATATATCTTTGTTCGTGCAACAATGCGGAGAGACGTGTGCGCGTTTGACAGCCTCGGTGCGGTTGTCAGTGTTACATCAAATCAGTCGTCGACGCATGCAAAGTGAATCATCCGTCGTGGTAACTAAATAAAACGCGTCAGCCTCGTATTCGCAGAGAGCGAGAGAGAGAGAGAGAAGCAAAGAGCGCGTCGCGTTTTTTCGCTCAGGAAATTGAAGGCGACCCGAATCAAGTTCGAATTTCGATTTCTCAACACAGCGTAATTATTAGGATTACGTTGAACGGAAGAGGGGGAGGGACCAAAGACGACGCGAATCAAACATGGATTTTGGATCAGAGTCGCGTCATTCGTAATTCGTAATTCGCCTCCTAATCTCCGATTCGTCGAATGAATCAACAACACATGAATCGACAACGGTCGATGTTCGAAGTAAGTCGTGAGTCTTTTTATCCGGGCGAATTTTATTGTAGCAAATTCGAGACGCTTGCATTAGTGCGCACTGAGTGCGATTAAGGCCTGTCCACAGTCCGTTCTTATATCTAAAAATCGTCTTAAATATATCTTCAAATACTTTTAGCTGGTCAAATCGTCTGCTAACAGCAAACAGATGCTATACAGATAATTTGACTAGCTAAAAATATTTGAAGATATATTTAAGACGATTTTTAAATATAAAAACGGACTGTGGACAGGCCTTAATCGCACTCGGTGCGCTCTAGTGCAAGCGTCCCGAATTCGTTATAAGACACACACGCGTGCGCACACGTCTCTCTCTCTCTCTCTCTCTCTCTCTCTCTCTCTCTCTCTCTCTCTCTCTCTCTCTCTCTCTCTCGCTCGCTCGATCGCACTGGTGGTATTCCCGCTTCCGGTAAATTGAATTTGAAAATCGGCCCGAAGCGCGCGCGACATGCGTGTACGCGTTAGTTACGATCGAGCTGTTCGCGTCCGCGGATGTGTTCGCCGCGGAGAAAGCGCAGGTAGTACGTTTTTACTATTTACATTCCCAGGTGCACGCCTGGCGTGCCGTTTACGCTAGAACGACCGCGACCTGCCTGGTATTTCCGCGGCAGATACACCGATATAGAGTCGTTCCGATGGCCGGGCGTGTCGTTTCTACGGGTTTGACGTCGTTGCGACGCAAACGCGCGTCATATATGCCGGAACGAGCGGTAATACGTAAAGAGGGTCGCGCCGGCGAAAAGGTACCTTCCTCCTCCCCGTCGCTGTTTCCGGCCGGTTAATTCGCTGGAAGAGCGTTAAAAAGTCGCTCGACCGACATGTCGCGTCTGCAGTCTGCGCGTTGCTCGACGCTCGAAGAGAATGAGAGACGAAGATGTGCGCATTGATCGCGCGGATTGGTCTCATCTTTCGCAACGAGAGAAAGAAAGAAAGAAGAAGAGACAGGAAGGAAGAAGGAAAGAGAAGGCAACGGAGCGTGGCCGGCCGGCGAGGACGCGCGCTAATATCGCGGCGCGTACAAAAAGCGCATCGCGAATCTTTTAAGTCTTCATTTGCGACGTCGGCGAAACGCGATTCGGTTGCCAGCGAGAACGAGAAGGAGAAAGAAAGAGGGAGAGGTGCAGAGAAAGAGAGGGAAACATAAAGAACACACAGAGAGAGAGAGAGAGAGAGAGAGAGAGAGAGAGAGAGAAGAGAAGCGGGCCGTGTGTGCAGAAAGCACTAGGTTATTCTGTCGCTCTTAGATATTGAATTCTCTCGCGCGCGGCGCGCGAGACCGTGACTGCTGCCGTTTGAACATCTAGGCGACGGGCCCGCCTAGATGAATGATGACGATTTCGTTTATGAACGATAATACATGTATGTCGGCGATTTAATGAAGCACTCTGGCTGCATCGCCGCAGCGGACGCGGCTGTTAAGCGCGAGTTACCTCGGCCTCTCGCCATGCGCGCGTTACGGTTCCTCCTACAAATTGCAGCGCAACTGCGGAAGTGCGCGGAATCGCCCGTCGCGATTAACCCTTTCGTCACGGCAGGGGGAACGTGCATAAACCTCCGGGGAGTTAAAATGGTCAATCTGCCCTTTGTGAGTGTTGTTTACAAAAGATTCTTCTGCCCCGTAAGCATGCTCCGTTTTCGCATGTTTCAGTCATTAGGTATTAATTACTAGGTCCGATTACCAGTCACTATTATTATTAATCATTAGCAACTACTTTATACTTAATTATTAACTGTTAGATTCCGCTATTACTAGACTCAGTCGATTCATTTTACAATAATACTACAGATCATCTGGGAATTCACGCAGAGTGTATTGGAATTCAATCGACAAACTTAGGATAGGATATATTCTACATAAAAAAAATAAGTATATAAAGCTCTTGGTGAATATCTGTCGTCAAATGATTGGATTCTGGGATATAGCCGCCGCACAATCTCGGTTTAAAAAATATTTCGACAAATATATAAATATATTTTAATTAAATTAATTATAATAAATATAAACATATTTTATTCGTTAAATTACAAATTTTACAAACAAATAACTCTAGACACATACTGTTTTAAAAATTTTGCACAATTTTTTATCGCCTTTATCTTCTGAAGGCTACGTTCCAAAGTCAAGTCTGCGATTTTTACTAAGATCCTTTTACGTATTTTTCAACACAAGACTTGTCCTGCAAGTTTGTCGCTAGTATTCAAATATATCAGATATACTTTTATAGTGATATACCCTATATATCACTATAAAAACTCTTAGGAAATATGCCTTTGGACCATAATAAACGCTCCTCTCTCTCTCTCTCTCTCTCTCCCTCTCTCCCTCCCCCTTTCTTTGTCTCTCTTTCGCTACTGTCGCAATACGAGGGACACTCGCGTACCTCTCGCGAATTATCGAGCGCGCGGCGCATCAATATTTTCCACGGCGCACTCGACGAGAACAAAGCGGCGCGATCTTCGACGGCTGCGGCCGCCGCCGCCGTCGTTTCATCTCGCGCGAAAGCTGAAAACGATCGCGCGGGAAAACGCGCTCCGCCGACACCTGTCACCAGCACCGATCATCCTCTCCGTCGTTCACCTCTCATTTTCAGCCGATTTCTCGTATTTCGAGTACCTTCCGCGGCCGCCAGTAGTAGTCCTAGCGTGAGCACTCGCTCGCCAGGTTTTCACGCGCCCTCCGGGACGTGATTGGAACTGACGTTTCTCCGTGGCGACGCGAATAAAAGCGCTAAAAAAAAAAAGAATCGCGAGAATCCACGTTCGAAGCGGCGGCAGGTGATCCTCCCTCTCCTTTGCCGGACTACGTTTGTCGGGCGGTTTTATCCGGCATCGAGCTCTCGTTGCTGTCGCGTACTTATCATAATCCGCACAAACCGATCGTTCTGTCAAAATCCACCAATCGATGCTATTCCGCGATACGTGGAAATATTAATGACCTTTCTCCCCACCCCCTTCCTCGGCGGAGAGACCTCGTCGCGGGGATCGTCTCGATAGGACAGCCGTACGCTTCCATGACGTCCGATGACGTTGATGTTTCTTGGCAGGACGAGTCATGCGAGGCATGGCGTTTTATTGATGCACATCGAACGAATTAATTGAACGCACGCGGACTCGAATGTCGGCGTTTAATTAGGCTTTGTTGTGGATAATTCAAAGATGAGTGGTTTTGTGATAATGAATACACCGAGGGCGGGCGGCGAACGGCGGAATCTGGGCCACGTCGAAATCTGGTCTATTGATTTTATGCCAAAAGCGGTGATGATCGCATAATTACGTAATATCTATTACGGATGATGCGTTATTTACTCGGAGTCTCGCAATGCGCCGTTCGGCGATGCGCGTTAAAACGCGCCATCGACATAATACGCGTACGAATGCGTGCGGATATACATGTATCGCTTTTAAAACGCGCGCTTCGCGATACGGTACTGATGTTACAAATTATTCCGCTCCGTGATATCAAATTTGTGCTCATTAAATTATGTTAATTACTCGAATAACGAGCGCTTCCGTCCCTCTCGATGTGTGATACGCGTGTGCATTTTTCGTCGCGCGGGCGGGCGCGCGTTTCTCTTCTCGCGCGGAATGCCGGCTGGCGTGCGAGTGGAATTCGCGCAACGCATAACAGCTGTAAAATAATTTTTGCCCGAGCTTTTCAATAGCGAACAATAATTCCCCTGCCGGAGGAGAGTGATAATATCGACCATGTGTCGCCCGCGCTGAAACATCGTCTGTTAGGATTAAGCGTGCACGGAGGAAAAGTCTCTGTTTGTGCTACTTGATAGGTAGTAGGCGGAAATTCACGAATCCAGGAACGAGATCTCCGTCACCGCGACCGCGAGAACTTTCGTCTGAGCATTCGGTCACATCAAGATGACTCTGTCGAGATGATTGAGAACAGTCGATTGTGAGAATAGAAAAATTTCGTGATGTAAAAGTGTCTGTCTATATATATATATATATTTTTTTTTTACTATATGTATATATATTTTTTTTATGAAAGAATTTAAATATTTGAATTTAAATAGTTGAAAATTAAAATATTCTAGTTTAAGAGCCAAAACAATAAAAATGTTCAGACTCAGGTGCGAATTTTGATATTGGTATTTTTATCCGACAGAAATTTTTTCTGTTTTCACAACCGAGTTCCCGCCTGATTGTCAGATAATAGCAAGTGAATTGACACGAACCAGATATTTTTTAATATTGTATATATCAAATATCTATATTTAAATACCCTGTATACTGATAAAAATTAGCAAGGATGAAGGGTTATTTTGCAGAAATTGTGGAACGAACTCTGAAGAATGTCATTCGAAAAATGAGGGATTATTTGGAGACATAAATAGACACGTCACGTTGATAACAGAATAAAGAAAAGTGAGTGCTGAGAGACTGTCGACTGCAGTCGACGCTCATACAGGAAAGGATAAAGCAGTTTCGTTCCATTTCGATCTATTAAAAAAAGAGAAATCCGGGTGATACACTAGTTGACATTTGCGAACAATCGCCGCCGTTAAATGACACACATTCAGACTGGACGCGTTTTTAGCGATGAAATACTCGCATTAACGTTTCAGGCAACGACACCGTGTAACGGTGGCCGACGATACGTCGCGCTAGTGCGAAACGATACCGAGGCGATATTCCGCGACGTATCGATCGTCATCGTTGACTCTTGCGCGCTCCTTTAACCCTTTGACTGGCTGAAACGCAATATTGCGTTTGCAAAAAATGGCCGAAACTGGCGGAAACGCAATACTGCGTTTTGTGATATTTCTGGTAGCCCAATATTTCTCTAAAATTGGATATTCAAAGGTTTTTGGAGTTACTCTATTCAACGATGAACTTTTCAAAATTCGAAAGTCAAGTTGGCGGATATAATATCTACCAATCTATAACCGGAGTAGGATGGAGAAGCTTTACAAAAATTTTGAAACGTATTTTGCGGTTCTTAAGGTTGTTTTGCTCAATAATGAATTTTAAAAACAAAAATTCGAAATGGCGAGTCCTAAAAACCAGTACAGATGATTCTACATATATTATATAACTTATTATTCGTTATTTTTAAATTATATTCACTCGTTATTTCGGCACTTTGTCACTTTATAGATTGCAGACAAAAATTTGGTGTATTTTCTCCATTTAACTTGTTTCATAACAGATATCCAGTTTTATTTTGATAAAAATTATTTAAATGATTTTAGTCGTCATATTGGATGCACCGTTTTGAATCTGAAAAATATTGAATTCGTATTCATAAACAGTGGCCCCTAGATTTTAATGACGTTGCTTAACTTTTGGAAAGCCATTTTTTGCCAGCTTAAGCACTTTTGCGAATTTCAGCTTGCCACTGAAGGGATTAAGCGCCGACGTGTATTTTCGCATGACGTTAGTGCTGACGACACGTAACGCGCTTCAATTATTGCACAATATCTAATACGAGAGGGTCCGCACACGTGTGAAAAGACGTCTCGTTCCGCTTAAATGTTATTAACGCTCGTCGAGTCCTTCGCGATAACTTAGGCGATAATTACTCCTTCCGATTAATTAATAATTCCGACGAAAATTCTTCGTAATTCCTAGGAATTTTTCGCGGCAAGTCGTTAATGTTCTTCACGTTGACGCTTGCAGGAGAGAGAGGGGAGGAAGGGGGGAGAGAGAAAGAGAGAGAGAGAGAGAGAGAGAGAGAGAGAGAGAGAGAGAGAGAGAGAGTAAATCTGGCGCAGTAATGTTAATTAACCTAATAGAGACCTTAATTGTTTCACGAGAATTTTCAACTGAAAGATCAACTTGTTTACCGTCTACAACTCTCAGATTAATATTTCGAAGTAATTTTATCGAGAGGAATTTTATTGATAGATAGGTTAAGTGGTCGGAAAATTTAGAAAGGTACTTTGAAAACATAAAAACACAAAATTATATGCCGATCGGGTGATCTTGTTTGATAAAATGTCCCGTAAATGGGATGCTAGCCGTGAACGAGTTAATTAATTAAATAAAATCGGGAGGGGCAATGTTGGCAACACCGATGCGGAGAGATCCCCTGTAACGCGCGAGACACAGTGTGTCTCGGAATCTGGAAGTTTAATTTTACAGAGAGCTTCTCTGGGCAATTCAGAGTTAATTTTTCCTCTACGAAAACGTCGAGGCTTCAATGGCTTCCTAGATGCAAGCGATCGAAAAAAGGATGCCTCACGAGCTAAACTCCAGATGACCAGACGGAGAATGAGATTATGTTCTCTGATCAATTTCAAGAGTGGGGTCTGCCGTAGCAGAAATTTGCTTTGAGGCTCAGCCACAAAAACGCGCTGAAAATTGTTTTCTTTTCTCTTATCATATTTCCATGTAGATTTACTGTTGTCTTCTTTTACAAATTATAATTCATATATTTCACGCTTCATTTTGTATATACAAAGGAGATGGTCTCTACAAATAAATAAAAAGGTAAAACAAATAATTAAGAGTGACTTTGAATAATGGCTTCTCTCGACGTTTTCGATCGAGAAAAATCGTCTTCAAATCGCTCAGAGAACCCCTCGATAAAAAATTAAGGTCGCGGTGTCTCGAAGGTTTCTGTACCAATATATATATATATATATATATATATATATATATATGTAACCTCACTAAGTAAGAAATTAACAAATGGAAAGGAAAGCCTTGAATAATGATCTCCCTCGACATTTTGAAACATGAAAAAATCGTACTCAAATCGATTTTGATGTACGTATAACGTTTTATATCAGAGAAGTGATTTCCGCAAATAAATGAATGAGTAAATAAATAAATAATCTAGAAAGTGCCCTCGAATCATAGTCTCGACCCTCGACATTTTCGACATGGGAAAATCGTCTTCGAATTACCCAGGGCTCTTGGATAAAAAATCGAGAGAGTCCTGATGGAGAGTCTGTACTCGTAGCTTCACATTTTTATCGCTCGCGCTTGCTGCTAAAACTGCGTATATCGACTCGAGTCAAGGCAAAAGAGGGGAGCAGGAAGCTCTCGTGTGCTTTCGCGGTGTACTACCTACCTGAGGGTCTTGGCCGTATGCATGCTCGACGTCTCGGCGATGTGACTCTGCAAGTATTGATTCAAATCCCCGTACTCGCCGTTTTCCAATACGATGCACATGGGATCGTCCTCGAGGCTGGCACCGAGTAGCCGCGCGACGTTTCGATCGGCGAGTCGTACCAGCCTCTTCGCCTCCTGTTGAAATTCTATCCTGGAAAACACACACGGAGCGTCCGGAAGTAATATCTTTATGGCGCCGCCCCCGCGGTACCAAGGCCACGACTATTGAATACGGATGCGAATATATATGCCGGAAGTAATGCGGGTACTCTCTTTTTCTCTCTCTCTCTCTCTCTCTCTCTCTTTCTTTCTCACTTGCCTGTTGCCGCTTCGTGCCGCTTCGCTTGTCTCACAGAGTCTTCGCCGTTTCTCATGACGATGGAAAGAACGGAAAAGAAAAGAGGACCGACGAGCCCCTCTCTTTCCTTCTCTTCCTTTCTTCCTCTGTCATTCTCGCTTTCTTTCTCTCTCGCTCTTTCTCTCGGCGCGAAAGCGCGAGAGGCTAAGGAGAGACCGTGACAGGGTGAGTCACGAATAACGGCTAAGTGCCGCGACTATTGCGCCGAGAGGCGTCTGAGTGAATTCCGGCAAAGATGCAGAGAGAGAGGGGGGGGAGAGAGAGAGAGAGAGAAAGAGAGAGAAGAGAGAGGAAAAGAGCGAAAGAGAGCGAGACGTAGAGAAGTACGCGCGATGGTTTATGGATTCGATGAGTGTTCGACGGAGGGGTCGCGTGCGCGCGGGGGGTGGGGAGGGCGCCTCGCGTCACTATAAAAATTCTAATCCATGGTTTGATGCGTCCATTGAATTTTTGACGAGAGTCGCGCGCGCG